CATTCACAGCTCCATCCTCCCGCTGGGTGTTTGCCGGGGGATGACGCATTCCCGAAAATCCCCGGGGAGCTGGAGGTGCGCGGGGTTCTCCTGCTCGTGTCAGGTTTGCTCTGGGAGCTGGGAAGGATGAGGAAGGAGTGGAATCAGCTGTCCACCCATTCCCGGTACTTTTCCACCCTCGCCGTGCCAGGCAGGTGGGAATATTTGGGACAGCGGCAAACACAGGGATGTCTCAAAGCTGCATCCAAGGGCTGGAAAGTTCAGGAGAAGAGTGGGAAGTGGGAATTGGCCCTGTGTGACCGTCACAGCTGCTGGGAGGGATTGGAAACCTCGTCCCCCGCGTTGATGGAGGTGTCTGGGGGACTCCCAGGGTGGGATTCATTGACCATTCCAGACCCTCAGTGTGGGGAACGTGGACATGGGGACCCTTCCCAGCTGGGAGGGGCAGACTGGGAGCCTTCTGGGGTTACTGGGAGCTCTGCCCTCTGGGAGCATCAGAGCTCTAATGGTGTCTGGGGACAATGATGGGGTGTCTGGGGACAATGATGGGGTGTCTGGGGACACTAATAGAGATATCTGGGGTCTGATGGGGGCTGTCTGGGTCTCTGATAGGATGTTTGGGGACCCTCATGGAGTTGTCTGAGACCCTCCTGCAGGGCCTGGGGCTGCCGATGCCACACTATTTGGTTCTCTTCTGGCTGCTCTCCCCCCTCCCTCAGTGAATGACCCGCAAACCGAAGACCATCTGGTAATTCCCGTGAGCAGGAGCGGCTCCAGGAGCATTTATTAACCCCAGGGACTACTGAGATGCCAACATCGGGAGCTCATCTCAATGATAAAGGGCCGTTTAATCCTTGTAGGTCGGCTGAGAGCAAGAAGGAAGCGCCTGGATTTGGATTTTCGGTGCAGACACCCCCTGACTCAGCCTCTGATTCCCCTCCAGAGCTGTTCATCCTGCCTGGTCCCTGCTCCAGACCCTCTTGTTGTCGTGTTTGGACCTCGGGGCACAAGGAAGAGGCTGAAACCTCGGAAGAGGTAAATGGGTTTGATTTCTCCAAGGTCTTATTAGGAAGGTCTGTTCCAAGCAGCCTTCCTGTGCCCTGGCTCAGGTTGCACTGACACGTGGATGGGGTTTCTTTCCCCTTCGTGGGGTGGCTCTGGGGGGTTCCAGACCTCGGGGTGGCCCCACTGACGTCTCCCTGCTCCTCATTCCCGAGGATCTGACCTTGGGTGCCCTCGTTTCTCGTGGTTTTATCCCCGGGTGAAGCCGTCGAACCCCCGGGGTTTCAGAGCCCCAGCAGTGGCTGCAAACTCAGCTATTCCATTAAATCCTCGAGTGTAAATCACCAGCTGCGGCGTCACAGCCTGGGCTCGCGATTCCAGCCCAGCAAAAGCCCTCCGGGTCCCCGACGGAGCAATCAGGGGGAGATTGGGATGAGAGCAGGGATGTGATGAGCTGTAAATCCTCTCGAGCTGCAGAGATGAGGGCTGTGCCTCCTCCCAGCTTCGCTCCGGCCGTGCCCGTGTCGTTCTTGGCAGCTTTCCCTTGGAAGGGAAGGGAAGAAAAATGGACAGACTGGTCTGGACACATCCTGAGGCCCCCGAGGAATCCACCAGCGACTGTTCCTGACTGCAGGAACCAGGTGCACTGGCTGGCTAAGTGGCTAAATTCGATTTATTGAGTCATTTAGGGCTCAGCTGGAGAAGAGGAGACTGAGGGGAGACCTCACTGCAGTCACAACTGCCTGGGCAGGGGCAGAGGAGGGGCAGGACTGAGCTCTGCTCTGGGGGGACCAGGGACAGCCCCCAGGGAATGGCTGGAGCTGTGTCAGGGCAGGCTCAGGGTGGATCTCAGGGAAAGGTTCTTCCCCCAGAGGGTGGTTGGCACTGAACAGGCTCCCCAGGGCAGTGGGCACAGCCCCAAGGCTGCCAGAGCTCCAGGAGGGTTTGGATGATGCTCTTGGGGCTGGGCCTGTGCAGGGCTGAGGGTTGGACCGATGGTCCTTGTGGGTCCCTCCCAGCTCAGCAGGTTCTGGGATTCTGTGACCTTTTGAAATGATAATTTCCAGCGAGGTTGGTGCTTGGGAATGAGGGCAGGGAGGAAGGAGGGTGGGGTGGGTTTGTGCTAATCAAATGGCTGTGAATTTGCATTTAAACTGAGGAATTTAGGAATCCACACCCCGGAGAGGAGCAGCTTCTCCTCGGGTGACACTTCTGACGTGTCTCAGCTTTTGGGGGTGGTTTGAAGCCACACACAGGGTTTGGTTTCCTCTGGGATATCCCAGCAGTGTCACCTCAGGACAACCTGCTCCTCTTTGGGGTTTAATCCCTCAATCTAAATGCAAATTCGCAGCCATTTGGTGATTCCAGAGCGGCTTTTGGAGGGTGAACAGCCTGCAATCACCAGCTCCACATCCCTCAACGCTCTCATCACCTGGGGCTGCAGGAAGAGTGTTCCCAACAACCCCTCCCCCTCCTCTCACCCCCATTCAAAACCTCTCTCATCACCTCCCTGGAAGCTTTTTAATCAACCAGGAGGGGCACAATCTGCTTTGGAATAATGCCTTGGGAAATGCTTTGCATGGGAAATGCTCCTCTCAGCCTGAAATGTTCCTACCCTGGTGGAATCAGGAAGGGGTTGGATTCTTCTTGACACCCTGGGGGGGGGTGTAGCCAGAATATTTCTATTGGGAGGTTTGTGATGGTCTGCCTGTTGAATTCCTTGTAGGAAAATGGAAGGGAAAGCAGGATTAGGTGTGTTAGTTTTGCCCCTGGGAAGCTTGTCCTGGTTGGGATCTCTGTCCTGGGGTGTCTTCCAGGATGAATCATGGAATGGTTGGGGTTGGAAGGGACCTTAAAGACCTTCTCTTTCTCCCCCTGCCATGGGCAGGGACATCTTCCACCACCCCAGGTTGTTCCAACCTGGCCTTGGACACTTCCAGGGATCCAGGAGCAGCCACAGCTTCTCTGGGAATTCCATCCCAGCCCCTCCCCACCCTCACAGGGAAGAATTCCTTCCTCGAAGATCCTTGATCTTGTGTAGTGAGAGCACAGATCCCACCAGGAATTCCCAGATCTTTCTGCAACGCCCCCCCCCTCCCCCCCAACCACCGTGCCCCTCAAATTGCTCCAATTAACACTTAACTTTTAATCCAGCCCATTGAGCATCCTCTTGGAGCAAACCCCACTGCCACCCTCTCCCTTCCTTCCCTCAGGAATTCCCAAGGAAGGAAAGTCCTTCTGAGGTGGTTCCTTCGCACCGAGAACATGAAAACTCCACTTTAATTCTCATTTCACTCTCCCAACCTGCTCGGGCTGGTTTTTGGAATCGTTGCTGGGGGTTCTTAAATCTCTCATTAGCTCCTGCTCGATTCATTTCGTTGGGCAATAAAAACTAATTAGTTGTGTAAACAACGAGGCCGGCAGCAAAGCCGGGGCTGTAAATTCTCCTCCAGCTGGCCCTGACTGTGTCCAGGAACCCCAAATCTGCCGGAATCCGCCCCAAAATGGAAGCAGGGAGTGTCACAGGTTTGAAAAGAGATGTTGGAATTTTTTCCCATCCGTTCCTTCTGGGATGGGGGCGAGAACGGAGCAAAACTGGACATACTGGGCAGATTTTGTTCATAAAAATCTGGGGTTTATTTTCCTTTTCCACGCTTCCACCTCAAGTTTCTTCATTTCTAAGCTGTAATCTCGTTAAATTAAGGCAGGGAGCGGTGAAGTTGAGCAGAGAAGGTGTTTTAACCTCGGAGTTGTTTCTCTCCAAGCCCTGATTTTGGCCCGCTGATGTCGCAGCCCAGCGGGTGCTATGGAAACCCCGGCTCACAGGCTGCTGGAGCTGCAGGCAATCAACTGCCTTTAATTCTGCTTTTCGGGGGGTATTTTTGACCTGTGTATTTAGCAAACATTTATGCAAAACGCCGTGGAATCCGTAAGTGTTAATTAGGCTGAGCTGGGTGCCTTTGCCAGAGCAGATGAGCACAGGGATGGGTTCATTCCACTCTGCAAACCCCAAAACCCCCACACCCAGTGACGAGGGTTTGATTTTTGGGGGTGCTTTTTGGGTACCCACCAGGCAGCTCCTGATCTGGGAGGGGGGTTCATGTGGAGTTGCAGGTGGAGGGACAAACCAAGGCAGCGGGAATTTGGATTTTCTCGTTCCTGAGGGGTGTTTTTGAGCTCTTTCTCACCGCTTTTGTCGTGGGTGGGTGGTCCAGGTGTGGTCGGGACAGGTCTGAATCCTCCTGGGAAGGGTGCTGGTGGTGCTGATTCTGGTGGGTTGAGCCTGGTTGGACACCAGGTGCCCACTCTGGCACGATAGTCCCACCCTGAGCAGCCCCAAGATGCAATCAAGCTGTTAATCAAGCTAATAAATAATAAATAATTCATTTTACATTATTCATATTCATACAAATGCATTATATTACATAATGATGCATTGGATTATTTTAGCATATCAATTTATAGTTACACGAATTGTTTACATTTAAGGCAAAATTTAATTTGCCATCAATAAAAACTGACATTATTAATAATTCCATCTATTTAATTTACTTCTGTGACGTTTAAATATTTACAATAACATATTTACAGAATCACAGATATTTTTATTTTATTCATAATAAGTAGTTTTAATTTATTTATAAAAATTATTTAGTGTATTTATATAGATAATTTTTATATCATTATATTTAATTTATTGATTTATATTATTATTCCCTTTGATTTATATTGTAATCCCTGACTTAAACATGGGCTGAGTCTGGGGGTTGTCCTTTTCCTTCCTTTGGTGGGGACACTCCAGAGCAAACCCCCCTCTGCCTTCCACCCTTTTTTTCCCCTCCTAATTCCAGCTCCTCCACTTTCCCCTCCTCCTCCCTCTTCCCCCCCACCCCCTGGTTGTCCCCTGTCCCCAATTAACCACCGGCAGCACCGAGGCCTCACCAAAGAAACATTTATTTGTGAAAATCCACGTGGACAAACTCGACAAGAGACGGATTTGGGGACATTTTCCTCCCGTGGAGATGCTGCAATGGGCAGAACTTTCCCCCAAAACCTCCTTCCAGAGGCCCCCACACAGCAAATTCCAACCTCCTGAGGGACTCCACATCCCATCCCGTCCTCTCACAACCCTCCTGGATCACTTCATAGGATCAGGAGCCCTTTGGGGATGGACATTTGAAGTTGCACAGGATTAGGACTTGTTTTGGGATGGATATTTGAGGTTGCACAGGGTTAGGATCTCTTTTGGGGTGGAAGTTTGAAGTTGCACAGGCCCAGGATCCCTTTGGAGATGGAAATTTGAAGTTGCACAGGATCAGAACCTCTTTTGGGATGGAAATTTGAAGTTGCACAGGATCAAGAGTCCCTTTTGGGATGGAAATTTGAAAGGCAGAGACATCCCAGAGTGGTCCCTCCTGCTCAGCTGCCCTGGGGTCTCCCTGTCCCTCTCCTGGACAGTTTAATCCATGACTGTGATTTCTCTTCCAGCAGAGGTGGGATTTGGGGTGGATAAACCACAGCAAAAGGGTCTATTTGCATTATTAGGACTGGATTAATTATTCAGCTGGAAACAGGTTTTTTTTGGGGTGGGCCAGGATGGGAGATTTATGACAAACCCCAGAATGAAGCAACCACTTTGGGTCAATTCCTGAAGGCTGAAAGGTCGGGTTTATTTAAATAATTATTATTATTATTATTATTTTAATAAGAAATAAACTCCAGGGGCTCCTGGGCTGGGCTTTGGGGTTGTGTGACCTCACCCAGGAGGGCTCTGGCAAGGACACAGCGAGATAAACCCACCCCAAATCCAGGACATCCCTGGGGAAAAGCTCGGTAAACAACGGATACTCCTCTCCCACCCCCGCGGGCAGACGGGGAGGGGCAGCAAAATAAAAATAACAATCAAGAGAAGAGGCGGGTGGGGCAGGTTGTTTGTTTTATTCTGTGTCCACCGGCAATCCCGTGAGGAATTCCAAACAATGGGAATCCAAATTCCAAACAATGGGAATCACGTGCTCGGCTTCCACTCCCGAAGCTGCCCGGATTTCTCTGACAAAACACCCACGACGGGCTGTGGGTTGGGTTCTGCTGGTGGGGGGTAAAAGGTTGCACCTGAAATGGGCTGGGAATGTTGTGGTTTGGAGCTGGGGATGGGCATTTACTGCTCTGTGTTGCTGATGAGTGGGAAGAGCAATTCCAGGGTGCAAAGCTGAGTTTGTAATCAGTGACTTAGGTGGCTTTAGGCTGGGATTTGGGGTTTAGAGAGGTGGGTTTGGATGTCCCATCCCAAAGTCTGGGAAGGGGTATCTTGGTTCAGGCTTTTCAGTCTTCAAAAGACTTTTCTGTGGGTTTGTTTGTTGGTTTTTTTTTTTTTCATGCACAGAACATCCCAAGGGTGGTGAAAACATTGCCTGGGGATGTTCCAAGGGTTGGAGCCAGGCTGGGAGAGCTGGGGAGGAGAGAAGGATTCAGAGAGATTTGAAAGCCCCTTCCAGGGCCTAAAGGGGCTCCAGGAGAGCTGGAGAGGGACTGGGGACAAGGGATGGAGGGACAGGACACAGGGAATGGCTTCCCACTGTCAGAGGGCAGGAACAGATGGGATATTGGGATTTTTGGCTGTGAGGGAGTTGAGGGGCTGGGATGGAATTTCCAGAGAAGCTGTGGCTGCCCCTGGATCCCTGGGAGTGTCCAAGGCCAGGTTGGAGCAACCTGGGCTGGTGGAAGGTGTCCCTGCCCATGGCAGGGGGTGGAATGGGATGGACTTTGAGGTCCCTTCCAACCCAAACCATTCCATGTTTGTCACACGAGTGGACATGGACCAAACATCCTGCCTTGGGATGGCCAAGATCCCAAAAGTGATCCTTGTCCCTGTTCCTGCCTCCACCAGCAAACAACTTGGCATTGGAGGGGGGAAAGGAAGACTCAGGTTTGGGTGTTGTACCCATTTCCACACAACATTTTGGTTTTCCTACCAAAGATTTTGGATCTCCAGCTCTTGGGCGCTCCCTGCCACATTCCCATCATCCTGGTCAGGCTCCACTGGGACCATCAACGCTATTTACAACAGGTGGGAATTTTTCCCGCTGTATTTCAAGGGGTACAAGGTGCCCAGGAGGGATTTCAGGCTGTGAATTGTCTGTTTGAATCGAATCTTCCCCTCGCTCCCTGGGGTTGTCCCACGTCTCAGGCTGAGCCTTGCCTGTGAGAGGACACTTGTCATCTCCTGATCATCTCAGAAATCATCCTTGGGGCGTAAAACACGGAGGCCAAAAGGGCAGGGTGGTTATAAATATCTAAATATACACATACAGAGAGATATTTATGGGTTTTTTCTATAAATTCGGACTTCTGGAGGCTCAAAATCCAACACAAACTCTCTTGAGGGGGTTGAGCCGATCTCCACTTGCTTTATTCCCCTTTCTGGACCATGTGGAGATATTTGGTGTCATTAAACTGTGAATTTGGGTTGGCAGCTGGAAATAAAACAGATTTTGGCTCTGGCTTGTAGCACCTTCTCGTGTATTGGCTCCTGTGGAGTGGATGGGAAAGGTTTCCTTGTCCATCCCTGGAGTTAAAACCCTTGGAAGCTTCAACTGCCGCTCCTGGGACTGGTGGAGTTATGGAAAACCCCCCAGGTGGGGTCCTGCCATTCCCCTGCTCCAGGATCCCGGATTTTGGGAGGCAGAGACACGGGAATGTGTCTTAAGGCGACAAGAATTAAGAATTTAAGGAGGGAAAGTGTATTCCAGGAGCAGGCTGTGGTTGGGAAGAGGGGGGAAGGGCTCTTCCTCTAAGGGCACTTGGCAGGACTTGGGGTAAAAAGAAGGATCATTCCTGTCAATCCCCTTTTGTTGCTCCTGGCTGGGATTTATCCAGGACTGCCTCTTCCAACAGCCAGTTTGGAGCCTGAGGAGCTGAAAAGCCCCCAAAGTCATTCCTTTTTTTACTCCCAGGGACCTCTGGGTGCTCAGCAGGGTCTGATGTTCAGCTGCTCGAAAATAACCTTTCCTTGCCCTGGGTGTCTCTCCACTGTTCATCTCTCATTCCTTCAGTGAATCCATTGAGGAGCCTGATTTTTACACCAAAAATGAGGGATTGGACCATCAACCAGGAGCAAATTACCCCCAGATCACCCCCAGACTTGTGGGTTTGTCCCCAACAAGCCGCATTTGTCCACGTCTCATTTTATTTGCTTTTTTCTCCCCTCTCTGAGGGTTTGTTCATTCATTTGATGACCAAAGGAGCCCTTGAGCAGCCCCAGGGGAAAATTATCCATCTGAGCAGGACTAAAATACTCCATATATCCATGCACACATCATAAACTTCATGTTTTCTGCAACAGGAAAAAAAAAAAACAACAAACCACAAACCAAATTCCCTGATTAAATGAAATCCAGAAGGGGGAAGCGAATCATTTCACCCTCCTCTGAATAAAAAGAGGCTGCAAAATTCTTCACCTCCCTTCAAACCTCGTTCTTGTGGCGGGATCTGTTTCCAGGGTGTGAAAAAACATTTCAGTGTGGCCTCTCCTTTTCCAGAGCTCCACAGGATTCCAGGATCTGTCCAAGGAGCGTCGCCTTGGGCTTTCTAGGAAGTCACAGTGATCGTTTTTTTTGGCACATGTGGTTGATTAAGAGCAACCAAAGCCTGGCTTAGGTCAGGAATCCTTTGGGAGAGCCCTGCTGGGTGAGCTGTGGTTGGAGAGGCAGCGGGAAGACCATCCATGAGGGTGCTGGAGAAGAGCCAAGACCACGTGGAAAATCCTGGATCCGACTGAAGCTCCAGCTGGTTGGTGATTCCCAATGGGTGTCCAGGCTCCTGATGTCGAGAGCAACATTTCTCCTGGATTTTGGGACTAAATATCCCCCCGGATATCCAACTGGGGAGTGACAGGGAGAACGAAATGAAAGGCGGGAAGGGGCAAAGCGCAGGGCAGGCTCATTTTCCAGAGGGACACTGGGAGACCCTTGCTGAGAACAGGGGAAGCTCCTGCCAAGCTGCAATCACAGGTTTGGAGGAAAAGCCGGCTCTGTCCCATTCCTGCAGCCTCTCCACACGGAACACACGGGACTAATCCAAAGCTTCCCCCGCTGGGCTCGCCCGGGGACGGCGAGCGAGTGGGAGACGACGAAACATCACAGAAAACACCAGCACATCACAAACCAGGGCCACGGAGAGGAGCCCTGGAGCGTCCCAGCGAGGGCAGGGGGGGTTGGTGGCACCTCAGGAGCAGCTGTAGGAGCCGGGGAGCCCCTCAGGTGAGGGTGTTGGAGTAGAAGCTGAAGCTCTCGGAGACGGTTTTGGAGTCGCTGCGGGAGGAGCCGTTGGAGGTGCCGTCTATGGAGAGGCGCTTGGCCCTGCAGGGCTCCTCCAGCTCCTCCTCCGCCGCCCCCACGGCCAGGGACACGGTGGTCTCCATCCTGCTGGCCTTGTAGACGCTGCTCTGGGTCTGCAGGTACCGGGCTGACTTCAGCTCCAGCCCCTCGTACTCGCCCGCGCTGACCAGGGGGCACCAGCGGAAGGCGTGTTTGAAGCCCACGCGGAACCTGCGGGGGGAAATCAGGGGTGAGGGGTCTCACTGGGGGTGGGGAGACAGGGCTGGGAACTGCTGAGCACAATTAGAAATGCTGCTTTTTTGCTGAAAGGGGGAAATCCACCGGTAAAGCCTCGTTTCGGAGAGTCACAGTGGGAAGGGAAGGACGCGCAAGGATCATCGACACAACACAGGACCATTCACAAGAGTCACATCCTGTCCCTGAGAGCGTTCCCTAAATGCTCCTGGAGCTCTGGCAACCTTGGGGTCATGGCCCAACCCTGGGGAGCCTGTTCAGTGCCAACCACCCTCTGGGGGAAGAACCTTTCCCTGAGATCCACCCTGAGCCTGCCCTGACACAGCTCCAGCCATTCCCTGGGGGCTGTCCCTGGTCCCCCCAGAGCAGAGCTCAGTCCTGCCCCTCCTCTGTCCCTCACAAGGAAGTTTAGTCAGGACTGTTTTGATCCCTCAAATCCCACAGAGCCTTTAGGAAAGACTTTAGGTGAGGGTTGTACCATTCCAGCATCTGCTGGAACAAGCCTCTAGTGGAGGATGGGGCAGAACCATCCCAAAAAACTCTCCATCCATCCATCCACCCATCCATCCATCCACCCATCCATCCATCCATCCATCCATCCCTCCATCCCTCCCCTCCTCCATCACACCCCTCTGTATCTCCCCCTCCTCCCGTCCCCGTCCCCCCTAAGGTGTCCCTGGAAACCCACCTGTCGTTGAGGCAGCAGTAGATGATGGGGTTGTACATGGTGGAGCTCATGGCCAGCCACATGATGGCCAGGTAGACCTGCTGGATGAACTTCTGGAAGTACCACTCTGGGTGGAAGTACTGCAGGGTGAAGTAGATGTGGTAGGGCAGCCAGCAGAGCGCGAAGGTGCACACCACGATGATCATCATCTTCACCACCTGAGCCAGGGACAGAGGGCAGGGACAGGGCCATCCATCAGTCATTCCACCCAGCTCTCAGTGCTGGGGGCGCTTTTGGGGCCCCACGATATAAAAAAAGATGTTAAAGCCATTGGAGAGTGTCCAAGGGAGGCCACGAGGATGGGGAAGGGTCTGGAGGGGCCTTATGAGGAGCAGCTGAGGGCACTTGGTGTGTTCAGCTGGAGAAGAGGAGACTGAGGGGAGACCTCACTGCAGTCACAACTGCCTGGGCAGGGGCAGAGGAGGGGCAGGACTGAGCTCTGCTCTGAGGGGACCAGGGACAGCCCCCAGGGAATGGCTGGAGCTGTGTCAGGGCAGGCTCAGGGTGGATCTCAGGGAAAGGTTCTTCCCCCAGAGGGTGGTTGGCACTGAACAGGCTCCCCAGGGCAGTGGGCACAGCCCCAAGGCTGCCAGAGCTCCAGGAGGATTGGGATCATCCTCTGGGGCACAGGGTGGGATTTTGAGGTGTCTGTGCAGGGCCAGGAGTTGGATTCATGATCCTTGTGTGTCCCTTCCCTCAGCATACTCCAAGTCCTGAGCTGCTGCCACCCCAATGAAGGATTTAGGGCTGGGATCAGCTGGGGCTGGCCATGAGCTGTGGTTGGAGCTCCTCACCTTCCGCTTGGCCGAGACCTGCTCGTGGTAGCGGTCGGAGGAGTCCCCGGGGATCTCGCTGGCCCAGAGGGTGAGTCCCACCACGGTGTAGGCACAGCCTATGACCAGCAGGGGCAGGAAGTAGATCAGGATGGTCATGCAGAAGTGGTACCTGCCAAAAAAAAACCAAAAACAAAAACCCACAGTCCTTGAGATGGTCCTTCAGCTGCTCAGTCCTTGTGTTGCAAACCGAGACCCAAGGCCAAGTGTGGCACATGGGCAAGGGAGATTTGGCACAATTCCTGTAGATCTGGGGCTGGGAAGGACTCCCTGCTTTCACCCCAGGCTGGGAAGGACTCCCTAATTTATCTCTGCCTCCTTCCTTTCACCCCAGTCTGGGAAGGACTCCCTACTTTCATCCCAGCATTGGGAAGGACTCCCTGCTTTATCCCAGTCTGGGAAGGACTCCCTGCTTTATCCCAGACTGGGAAGGTTCCCTCCTTTCATTCCAAGCCTCTCCTGCCAGCCCCTGGCACCCTCCTGGGATGGGATGTGCTCCTTGCCAAGGGAAGGATGTTGCAGCCGAGGGGAGTTTTTCACACCCCCAAATTATCCCAGAGGTGGACGTGGCCTCTTCCTTCCACCTCACAGCTGGAAACCCTGCCAGCCAAGGTGTGTTCTGGGCATCTGAAAGGTGGCAATAGGAAGCTGAAGAAATCAGGGCTTTCCCTGCAGGATGGGATTGCAGCTCAGCCAAATTCTGGTCCCCCAGGGGTTAAGGCAGGCTCAGGGGGCACTGAGAGTAACCCCAGCCCCCCAGAAAAGCCAAACCCTTGTCAGGGAGGTTTATTCAAACTCCTCAGTGAATTCAGCAGCTGGGCCAGTTCTCCAGGCTGGGAGGACTTTCCAGGAAAGGGCAGAATCCTTGAGTGTGTTTATACCACGGATAAATAAACCCAAACCCCAACAAGAGACTCTGGATTAAACTCACCACGGGCTTGGGGCTGTTTGGTTGGGGGTCGGTGGAGATGGGGCAGGTTCAGTGGGAATTCAGTGAGGATTTAGGTTAAATAAAGGGGGTTAAACAGGAATAAAATCCTGCTGGTTTTCCCAACCAGGACAGGGGTGGACACTTTGACCTTGCAGGGTCCTTCCCACCAGCAGAGCTTGCAGAAACCTCTCTGCCCTGTGGGAAGTCGAGTTCTAGTGGGACAAAAGCAGGGCTGGTGCCAGCTTGAAAATCATCCCCAATGCTGCCAGGTCAGAGAGAATTTCATTCTCAAGCTTTGGGGTCTTTGCATGGATTTTTGGGGCTGGAATGGAAGGTGCTGCATCTTTTGGAGGCAGTCCAGGCCCTGGACCACTCTCAGCTCTTGCCATCCCTATATTTGATTGAATAACATCCCTAAAGTTAAAATGAATGGGTCAGGCTCCTGCCTGGTGCAATTCCCACAGGGAATGGGGCTGGCCAGGCCATCTCCTCCTTGTTTTGTACCTGCAATCTCATTTGGCCTTCTCCTCCCCCAGCCCTAATCACATTTGGGATGGATTCCGTGGGGCTGTTTTCCATTTTGCCAATTAAGGAGGCGTCTCTGTGGCTCCACCAGGAGGGTTTTGTTGTGGTTCCCATGTAAGGCAGGATCTTAAAGCAGCTGCAGCCAGCTCCAAGTTCTGCATGCAATTCCTCCTCAGAGGAGCTGGGAGATGACATAAGCAAGGCAGAGCTGCCTGGGCACGGCCGGGGATCCCAAAAAAAGCCCTTGGAGACTTTTTTTCCTGTGGAAAATCGGCCTCCCCGTGGAACTATTTGTGTGTTACTCTGCCTGCAAGGACTGCAGGATCAGGGCACTCAGAGGAGCCTGGGGTTTGTAATTTAGGGGATTTAGGGCCTCGTGTGGGGTGGAGAAGCCTGGAGGAGTTTTGGGATGCCAGAGGGTGGAGCTGCCTCTCAAAGCCCAGGGCTGTTGCCATGAATAAAGGATGTCCCTGTGGGCTCTGATCTTCCAGAGAAACAGTGACTTGGGGGGGTTTCCCTTCCCTTAACAAGCAGAAGTGGCAGCTGATGAGATTGGAGTAGAGCAGCCATCCATTTGGGAGCAGAAGAGGGAGAGGGGATCGATGGCGGAATCGAATCCACTGCAATTGTCAGCTCTGCTGCAGACGCTCCTTGTGCCGGGGTTCTCCCCCCTCAACAAGGACATTTTCCCAGTGAAAAATCCCATCCCAGCCTCTGACTCCCTCTGTGCTTTCCAGGCTCCACTCCCCAAGAGAAACCCCCCCCTGGAACGAGGAGAAATCTCCCTTTTTTCTCCTCCAGGAGCTGTAAAAGTGTCGTTATTATTTCTCACAGGCAAAGCAGCTGCCACCGGTGCCTTCCCAAAATAACCTCTCCCAAGGCCATGGAGCAGGACAGGGGGGCTCACAGTGCTCCCAGCACCTGTCCCTGCAGTTATTTTGGGGCAGGAAAATCCCTCCTGGAGCTCTGCTGGGCTTTGCACGGGGGGATCCGTGATGTTCGATGCTGCTGGAGCTGCAAGTTCCTCTCAATCCCCAAATTCTTGGGGGGGGGGTTGGCTGCTTAAAAACCTCTGCTGAGCAGCTGCTTTCCCAGCTTTCCTGGGAGCATGGGATGCTCTGGCTTGGAGGTGTTTTTTCCTTGGATTAACCCTCTGGAAAAGCCACAGCCCCAGTGAACAACCCAGGGAAATGATCAGACCCTGAGCTGCCTCAGTTCCTGCTTCATTTGGGGGCTCAGCCCCATCCTGGGGGGTGTTTCTTCCCACTGATTGGACTATAGAGGAATAATAAAAGTTGGAAAAGCCCTCTGGAGCTCAGCTGGGCCAGGCCCAGCTTTGTTTGTGCCCCACCTGCCTCGCAATGCAAATAACTAAGGATATAAATGACACCAACCAGCAGTTTGTGACCTGCCACTCACTGCTGAGAGACAAACTCATCCCATTTGTGTCCCAGAGAGGCTTTGCCAGGCTCAGCTTGGCTTTCAACACCCCCCACGTGTGTGTGAGTCCCTGCTTGGGCTCCAGCAGGATCTTCCAGCCCTAATTCCTCCCTCCACAGGGCTGGAGATCACAAATGCCTTTTTTTTCTCCCCTGCTTTCTCTTTTTCCCTCCACACGTGGCATTTAACTCCCCCCCTGGGCTTCAAAGAAGCAAAGCAGGGCTGCTGGACCCTTTGGAAAGGGCAGGATTAATTAGGAAGCCCTTTAATGGGAAGGAAGGACTCCTGCTGAGCCCTCCTGGCCCAGAATTTGCCTCCCAGCCCAGCTGAGACCACAGAGCCCCTTTTTGGAGCTTGGTTCAAGTTGCTGAATGAAGTACGGGGTGTTTGGACCCCAGAAATCCCAAACCAGGGTTATTTCTGTCATTGCCTGGCCAAGAGACTCCTGGTAAACCCATATTTCCCTCTGGCAGGAATGACTCAGCCCAGGAAGCCTTTGGAGTTGGAAAAACCAGAGCTGTGTTGATGAATCAGCCCCAGGGGGCAACACAGACCCTGCTCCCAGAGCCCCAGTGCTGAGTCCTTGCAGTTGGACACCCTGGAAGGGTGGATGGACATCCAGGAAGGGTGGATGGACATCCAGGAAGGGTGGATGGACATCCAGGAAGGGCAGGGAGCTTGGGACAGTGTTTGGACCAGGGCAAAAGAGCACTGAACTCAGCTTAACTGAGCCTTAAACTCATCTTAGTTAACCTTAATGCGCCCCTCCCTCCCTCCCTTCCTTCCTTCCCTCTTCTCTTCATTCTTCCCTCCTTCTTTCCTTTCCTTTCCTTTCCTTTCCTTTCCTTTCCTTTCCTTTCCTTTCCTTTCCTTTCCTTTCCTTTCCTTTCCTTTCCTTTCCTTTCCTTTCCTTTCCTTTCCTTTCCTTTCCTTTCCTTTCCTTTCCTTCCCTTCCCTTCCCTTCCTTCCCTTCCTTCCCTCTCCCTTCCCTTCCCTTCCCCTTCCCTTCCCTTCCCTTCCTTCCTTCCCTTCCCTTCCTTCCTTCCCTTCCCTTCCCTTCCTTCCCTTCCCTTCCCTTCCCTTCCCTTCCCTTCCCTTCCCTTTTTTCTCCCTTCCCTTTTCCCTCCCTTTTCCCTCCTTCCATCCCATATTTCCATCCCATATTTCCATCCCATATTTCCATTCCATATTTCCATCCCATATTATTTCCATCCCATATTATTTCCATCCCATATTTCCATTCCATATTTCCATCCCATATTATTTCCATCCCATATTTCCATCCCATATTTCCATCCCATATTTCCATCCCATATTATTTCCATCCCATATTATTTCCATCCCAATATTTCCATCCCATATTTCCATCCCGTATTTCCATCCCGTATTTCCCCAGAGGTTTCCCCCACTCAGGACAATCCCCCACTCACGTTTTTCCATACAGGTGTGTGCCAGGCTCAGGCCACTCCACCAGGCACACCAACCGTCCCGGGAGCTCTGCCATGACGGAATAATATCCCTGTGGGAATGCCAGCAGGAATGCCAGCAGCCAGATGAGCCCGATCACCACCTTGGTGGCCTGGGCCGAGAGCCGAGGCCGCAGGGGGTGGATGATGGCCATGTACCTGCAGGGGGAGGGGAAAAAAAGTGGGAATCAGGGATGGAAAGGGGGAAATCAAGGCTGGAAAACCCCAATATTGCAGCTTTTGGGGCTGTTTTGGAGCATCCTCGTGTGGGGGTTGTGCTTTGGTAGCTCCTAAATACACGTTGGAAAAGCCCCTCACACGGCACAGTAATCCCACTCTGGAGGATTCCCAGGGTTTCAGCCTGGAGATTTGATTCCTGGCTGATGAAATGGTTGATTTTTAGCTGAGGAAAAGCTTCACTGACATAAAAAAAGATCAATTTATCCAGAACCCACCATGTGGCAGCGACAGCTTCGGTCGTTTCTCCCCAGCACAAAATCCTGGCTCTGTGGTAGATCCCAGTGCAGGGTGGGAAACAGGGAAAATAGGGCTGGAAATGGGGAAATCAAGGATGGAAATGGGGAAATCAGGGCTGGAAATGGGAAAATCAAGGGTGGAAATGGGGATATCAAGGGTGGAAATGGGAAATCAAGGGTGGAAATGGGGATATCAAGGGTGGAAATGGGGATATCAGGGCTGGAAATGGGGATATCAAGGTTGGAAATGGGGAAAATCAAGGATGGGAATGGGGAAACCAAGGATGGAAAGGGGGAAATCAAGGCTGGAAATGGGGATATCAAGGCTGGAAATGGGTATATCAAGGTTGGAAATGGGGAAATCAAGGGTGGAAGTGGGGATATCAAGGTTGGAAATGGGGATATCAAGGTTGGAAATGGGGAAATCAAGGCTGGGAATGGGGAAATTAAGGCTGGGAACAGGGAAATCAAGGCTGGGAATGGGGAGACCAAGGCTGGAAATGGGGAAATCAAGAATGGAGGTGGAGAAATCAAGGATGGAAAAAGGGAAATCAAGGTTGGAAACGGGGAAATCAAGGGTGGGAATGGGGAAATCAAGGCTGGAAATGGGGAGACCAAGGCTGGAAATGGGAAATCAAGGCTGAGAAGGGGGAAAACAAGGCTGGAAATGGGGAAACCAAGGCTGGAAAACCCCAATACTGTTGCTTTTGGGGCTGGTTTAGGCTGTCCTTGTGTGGGGGGTCCTACTTTGACACCCCCTAAATTCATCCTGGCAGCCCCTCATGCCATGAAACCCAACCAGCATCGGATAATCCCATTGTGGAGGATTCCCAGCGTTTCCACCCTGGAGATTTGAATCCTGACTGGGACAATAATTGACTTAGAGCTGCAAAACAGCTTCACTGACACCACCAATTTACCCAGAACCCACCATCTGGCAGCGACAGCTTTGGTGCTTCTCCCCTCCCACAAAATCCTGTAGATCCCAGAGCCAAGAATTCCAGGAGCAAAGCCAAAAATAGGAGCTGTGGAGCGGCGTGGGATGAGGGATCTGAGGTGCCACCAGGCTCAGGGGCTTTTTAATTCTTCCCTGAGTCCTCCCTGTGTTGTGTTTTTTGGGGGGCAATCAGGGATTAATGTAGGAATTCCATAAACAGGAGGTGCTGCCCTCAGCTCTTCCTCTGCCCTAGGATTGATAAAAACCCCCAAAAAATTGCTATGAGGGTGAAATAAACCCAAAAGCACCACCTGGAGACCTTCCTGACCAACTACAACTCTTGTCTCGTGGTGGAAGGAGATGGAAAAACTCCTCCAACCTCGCTGGCAATCCAAGGATGGGCTCAGGGAGGCAGGAGGGAGCAAATTAGGGGTGTTTTGGGGGGAAAATCAGCCCTAAAATCTTATTTTTCAGCAGCAATTCCTGATCCATCAGTGCTGAGCTGGGAAATATTCCCTTGGAGATGCTCTGGGTTTAATCCATCAGGGTTAAAAAACGGGAATAACAACAGGGAATTAAGAAAGGATGATGGAAAGGGTCTGGGCTGCTTGGAGGAGCTGGAATTACAGCCTGTAAAAATCCTGGAGATGGATGGAAATGGAGAAACATCCTGAAAATAACTAGGCCATTATTTCATATTAAAATATTGGATAATTATATAATAATTGTATCACTGAAGAAAATCGTCCCAACATTTCAATAACCATTTTTTTAATTATTATTATTATTTTTATTTTTTCCCCCTCTCCTTGTCAAGAACTTTTGATGCAAAATCAAACCAGGGAGAGGGAGAGGGAATGTGGATTTGGGGCCACCACAGCTCGGATGAGTGGCCATCCTGCTTATTTTAGGGTGGGAAAGCACCAATTCAGAGAGAAAAACCACCTTTTTCTTGCTTCTCTCAGCTCTGGCTCCATCAAACAACTCCCATTTCCTTGCAGGCCACTTGGACTTTCTGTGGTTTTCCTACTCAGTTTTGAGCCAAAGCCTCTCCAAAGCATTCCTAGGGGCAGGTTTTTGGGATAACCCCAAATAAATCCTTCCTCCCACTCAATCCTGGCTGCCTTGGGTACCTCCAGCTCCTCTCCCTCCACGTGGCTTCATCTCCCAGGTGAGGCTGGAGAAGCTGCTGCAGCCAAAGCTCCATCAATCAGCTTCTTGGCAGGGAAGAAAACACGTCAATCATCATTTACCTTCCAGCAAAAAATAAAATAAAAACCACCCTTCCCAATCTATTTCTTCTCTATTAATACCAACAGGTTGGCATTTCGATGGGAATGGGGATGAAGCTGCAGAGCTCTGATGTGTCTGCAAGGGGCTGGGGGGTGTTGGACCCCCAGGCAGGGGTTTGAGGGGCACAAAAAGGGTGGATTTCACAGGATTTCATGGAATATTCCGAGCTGGGAGGGACCCACAAGGACCACGGGTTCCAACTCATCCTGCACAGGACACTCCCAAAAAACCCCACCCTGATGTTCCTGAATTATCCAAATTTTGTCCAAACTGGGGCCATGACCAAACCCCTCCTGTTCCACCCTCTAAGCTTTTTCCTTGGCCATCCAAGAGGGTGGTTTTCCCATCCACAAATAAACCAGGGGTTGCTGGGGATGGTTGCTCATGGGAGATGAGGGAGAGGAGCAGGTGACAGGTGACAAAGCAGCTGGAGCCTTCAAGTCCCAAATTATCACAGGGAATTGGGGTTTTTGTTGAGGATTTAGGGGCAGAATTCCTGTGTTTGGGAAGGTTTTATTCCCTGGGCAGGAAGTTCACAGGAATGGGGTTGTTTGGTGCAGAAGAGTTTGGGTTGGGAGGATTTTATAGAATAATAGAGTGATTTGGGCTGGAAGGGACCTTAAAGATCATCCAATTCCAAGAGATCAACCAGTTCCAAGAGATCATCCAGTCCCAAAAGCTCAACCAGTTCCAAGAGATCATCCAGTCCCAAAAGCTCAACCAGTTTTCACCAGATCACCCAGTTCCAACACGTCAACCAATTCCAATGGAAGTTAATGCCTCTCGTCCCTCAGAACCAAACCATGTGCTCCTGCTCTCCTCTCAGGTGGCAGCACCACGTTCAGGTGCAAACCAGCACTCCCAGTTCCCCCCCAGCAGAGCCCTGGTGGGATTCCCACCCACCTTTCCCTGCACCTTCTGGACGTTCTAACCACAATTCACGCTCTTGGCACTGCAACCTCCCAACTGAACCGCCCCACAGGAGCCAGAGGCTCTTCCCCCGAGGTGGGTGATGCCATTTGCTGGTGGTTCAACATCTCCCTGTGTTTTGGGGGGGGTTGCCATGACGACACAGGAGCGGTTGGGGCTGGTGTTGTAGCAGAGTCGCTCCGAGCGCCTCGGTGATTAAACAGACCTCGCGCCGGAGGCCGTGTATCCATCTATTAACGTCAGCTGGAAATCTGGAGCCTGCCTGGAGAGCTCACATACTGCACAATTGTTTTCACCCTGATGGAGATGAGATTAATACAATGGTACAAATTGATGGAGCTTCTTCGTCCCAGAGCTTCCTTATCTGCTTCGTTGATAAGGACGGGGCAGATGAGGGATGAGCAACCAAAAGAGGCCGCAGGGTTTGGGCTGGGCTTTGTGGAGATTTGATTTCCCAGCCTCAGCAAAGAGGGTTTAGGGCATGGGCAGTCCTGGGGGTGTCTGTGAGCAAGGCAGAGCAGATGCTTCAAGCTGGAGTGGGTCAATCCCTCCAGCACAGCTCTGGGTCACAGAATCATGGAATGTTCTGAGCTGGGAGGGACCCACAAGAACCATCAGTCCAACCCTCAGCCCTGCACAGGCCCAGCCCCACGAGGATCATCCAAACCCTCCTGGAGCTCTGGCAGCCTTGGGGCTGTGCCCACTGCCCTGGGGAGCCTGTTCAGTGCCAACCACCCTCTGGGGGAAGAACCTTTCCCTGAGATCCACCCTGAGCCTGCCCTGACACAGCTCCAGCCATTCCCTGGGGGCTGTCCCTGGTCCCCCCAGAGCAGAGCTCAGTCCTGCCCCTCCTCTGCCCCTGCCCAGGCAGTTGTGACTGCAGTGAGGTCTCCCCTCAGCCTCCTCCAGCTGAACACACCAAGTGCCCTCAGTGTCCTCATAAGGCCCCTCCAGACCCTTCCCCATCCTCGTGGCCTCCTTTGGACACTCTCTGATGGGTTTGTTATGTTGTGTCCCCCCCAAAACTGCCCCAACATTGAGGTGAGGCCACCCCAGTGCAGAGCAGAGCGGGACAATCCCCTCCCTCTGCCAGCTGCCCACGCTGTCCCTGATGCTCCTCAGGAAAATCCACCTCTCCTTCCACAGGGATTGTGCCACCACACCAAAATCTCTTCCCTGGTGTGTGTGTGACAAAGCTTGGCCTTGTCCTGGTGTCCCCAAACCCCAAGGTGGGAGGTGCCTCGAGCAGCTGCTTCCTCCTCTTTATTGCTCAGGGAGTGCCCAAACCAGGACACAAAGAGGGCTCTCCCACCCCAGTGTTGCCCAAAGCTCCACCCAACTGCAGGTTTCCCACTGGCCTTTGCCAAGAGATGGTAAAACAGCTCTTGGAGAGCTCTGGGGTTGTTTCCTTCAAGCAACAACCCAAAAGGATGGGTGGGGTGGGGTTGGGGTTGGGAGCAGGGGTGGCTTCTGCTACCCCCTGACACCTGGAGCACCCAGTGGTTCAGTGGGCCACGGAGGAA